AAAGACAAAAGACGGATCGACGTAGTCAAGGTGACCTTCTAAAACGAGCAACACATCACATGCACATACTCTCACACAAGCACACGTTTGCTTGAAAGCAACGAAAAACAAACAAACCCACACAACAACAACAGAGGAAAAAGAGCCCTAAACAGCAGTCCAAGAAAAGCAGAAAGACAAAAAAAATTAAATCAAGTTATTAAAACAAATAAAAACAAACAAACGAACAAACAAACAAACTGGTTGCCATGGCAACACCTGTCATGAGCTCCTCCCTGTAGACCGAGGTGAAGGCCCCGTAGTAGGCCACACAGGCCGCGGCGATAAACACGTCGCCGACCACGTTAGACAGCTGTGTGGTGAACATTGCCACACTCTCCTCCCACCTTACCTGCCGGGGGAGAAGACAACAGGGGACGGTTGGTTCACTCCAGTTGTGCATTGGACATAGATCTATTGGCAAATGTGTCTATCGGGAACGGCCCCCATTTCATGTTTAACTGAGTGTAGTGTCTTCAGGCCATTCCCAAAGGGGGGGGGGCATTTCTCTTTCAAGCACAGTAGAATTGTAAATGGGCTGATTCATGTCACGCTCATAACTGTGCCTGATCTACAACAGGGAACTGCTGCTTTTTCTTTCCTAATCCTTACTATTGTAATTTTCCTCTTCTTGTTTTGTATGTTTGTCACTCTCTTGTGACCTGCTATTCTTGGGGTGCCCTGATAGTCGAGGCAGACTTTGTGCTGTTGAAGCTAGAGAGGGGAGCAGAATAAGTCTGATTCCCAGTAAAGACTTCTCTGTTGACACCCACACCTTGGCGCTCATATGACCTTATGCAGTTGCGAGTGCCGTAAAACCCTCTACTATAAAAAAAAGAAGATACTGGAGTATTCTTGGGTGGAGACAGGGGGCGGTTGGTGCAGTTCAGTAAGTGCAGTAAGAGTTTTAACAACACCAAGCACTCAGGCTATAAAGGAAGAGGAAGGCCACGCAAAAGGTGGATCGAGGGCGTCAAGGAAACCCTGAGAAAACATAAAAATATCACAACTGAAAGAGCTGCGGAGCTGGCCTACCATAGAAAACTGCATCTCCCCTCGACGCTTAACGGCAACAGAGGATGAAAAAGTAAAAGTAAAGTAAGTAAGAGTTTTATGGCACTTGCAACACATTTAAAAGTCATTAAAGTAACGAAGATTAGAGGTATTACTAGATAAATCAACATACACAGAAAAGAAGAAGAGATAAAGACGACCGCTTAGATGTTTGGTTGGAGAGACGGAGCAAACTGCACCAAAGCGCCTGCCAACCGTCCACATTATTACACTTTATTTTAGCGGCTTTTGTTTGGGTAGATCAATAGAAGCACATTGACGCAATAAATGATCACTTTGGTACAAGGAGAGAGCACAACACACATACAGGGACAACAACAGAGGGACAGAAAAGAAGTAGGACCTTCTAGTGGCACCCTCCAACCACCCAACATACAACGTCGTGGTCAGTTCGCACTGGACACACAGAAAGTATACAAAGTTGACAAGTCCTTTCCAGAAGACTCTCAACATCATGTGTGGTCCTGGGTGAGCTCTGGGATATTTGCGTATTGTTGGCAAACGATGTCAACATTGCTTTGTGGCTTTTTCTTTTGTCCCGTATCCATTAAAATGTTTATACCCACGACACCACCTGGTTAGAAACACAGGTTGTCCTTCACTGGTCAGCCACTTCCATCTGTTTGTTGCTGTTATTTTGTACCAATGTCTTTCGATCCCCTAATGCCTTACAGTAGAAATACCCAGAACTATGTGACTTATTTTTAGGTTACTACAATTTGTTCATAATTAACATTTTTTGCTTTTTAAGAGAGCATGCAAACCCATTTTATGTAGACCCTTAGTTTTTTAGCATGCATTAAGTACACGTAAATTATTTTTTTTTTCAATAAGCGATGTAACAAACAAGAGAAAGATGTTTACTTCTCCCCTCGACACCGTGAGATATCAGAGGTCGGAAGAAAAGTTTAAAAAAAAGTAAGTATTGAAATCAAAACCGCGTTGTTAATCTCCAGAATTGGAGTCAAGGACAGAAGAACTGTCTTCAAACTGTAACCCTAGAAACAGTGACGTCACCTGTTCATCAGCCAACGCTGACGTGAGTTTGGAAGACCTCTTCAGACGGGCAGCGGTCACGGCCATATTGCGTTCCAGATTCTTCTTCTCGGTGACGCTATTGTCATAGACAGCCTGTGCTCCACATAAATAGAATTTTAAAAAAGATGTCGGCCAGGAATCTAACTCACCCTTTGTAGCATCCTTCTATATACGAACAAACACTTACTTGTAACGCCACGAACACAGCTTCAAAATAGGAGAACCGGCTGGAAACTAGTTTACAATATTATAATATGTCTTATTTTTAAAGAAAAGGGTCAAACACCTCATGGTGTTATCTGCAATATCACTTGCGAAATAATTTAATGTATGTTTTGAAAATAACTATTAGACTATGACGACGCCCCTTATCTGAGCAATACGCTTGGGTGTTAAAAAAAAAAAAAACGACAACAGAAGTTTGAACATAAGAACCATCTTAAGGATTAATAAAAAAAGAGACTGAGAAATAAAAACCTGAATACAAAAAAGCTTACATTGCTGGAAACCATTCTTCCCCTTTGCAGAAACATCCTAGCATCACAAAGCAAATAGAAAAATAGTTACCATCAACGTCATCTCTGTTCGATCTTTGATAAACCAATGTCAAAGGCATTAGGCAACTCCTGACCAAGTGTGTGTGTGTGTGTGTGTGTGTGTGTGTGTGTGTGTGTATGTGTGCATATACATGTGTATGTGTGTATGTGTGTATGTGTGTATGTATGTTTGTGTGCGTGTAAGTGTGTGTGTATATATGTATATGTGTACGACGTTCACCTGCAGTTTCTTGATCTTGTCCTCCACCTCAGCGAGAGCGTCCTGTTTACTCTTGAGCACGGCCATCACAGAGTCCAGTACCTCTTGTGCCGCCGCCAGTCTGACAGGGGGTGGGGGGGGGGGGGATATTCACCTTTGTCATTATAACAAGACAGCAGAAAAAAACCCACTCGTGATTTCCTAGAAAGGTTGCCATTTTCTAAAAATCCCTACTGTGCAACACAAAGGTGACATCAAAAAATAAAAATTAATGTTTCAATTTCAGAACAAAGCTTCCACCAAAAATAGTAACAATAAATACATGAATAAAATACTTCCCCCCCAAAAAAACCCAAACAAACAAAAAAACAAACAAAAAAACAAACAAACCAAAACACAAAAAACACGAAAAAAAAACAACAAAGAAAAAACTGATAAATTATGCTTCCAAAAAAAAAAAAAGATTCTGTTTTTGGATTTTCAGTCAGTTGGAAATAATATAATATATGATATTATCTGCTTTTCCCATGTACTTTTCAACTATTCTACAGTTCCATCGAAACAATTAAAAATACTGAGGGCTTCTACTCTGCTTGTCAAAGCCAGCACGAGCTGAGACTAATTATAGACCGAATTTTACGGCACTTGCAGAGTAATTGGGTCTCACAAAGTGCCAAAGGCCAAGCGTTTTACTAGAGTAACATACACAGAAAACAAGGAGGACTGATATAAGGATGAGAGATGTTTTCTTGAAAAAGAAAGAAGCAAATCACACTAGGGCACCCGAACAGACAAACGGGGATGCTCAATAAAAAAACCACCCCTGCTCGGGAATCTAAATCATCCCCCCCCTCTCTTTCTCTTTCTCCCCCCTCTCTCTCTTTCTCTCCCCCCCTCTCTCTCTTTCTC